TACCTCTGAAGGAGTTTAACTAAAGGAGAATCTTCAGGGGTTTTTTAGCTTAGTTTCAAACAGATTCTTAAGCTCTTGTGTTTATGACCAGGAATACTGTGGGTAGCTAGGAAGCTAATAAAACCCATGATCTGCAGGGAACACAAAGCATCCTCTTCCCCATCTGTGCTGATTCATGCCTGTTTTCTGTAAAAGCCTTCCTGACTAGAATCCATCTTGCTTGTGCTAGCAGTTCACTCAGCCTAAACTTGCTGATGAGGCTTCTTCTACACTCCATAGAAACAGGCACCTGAAGGCATTGGTCCCATTAGTTGTCCTACATATACACTGGGAAAGGAAGAAGACAAGACACTCTTCTTGGTATCCAAAAAGCAGCAGAATCAATGCACTTCAGTTGCTAATCTTCCTCATTCTTATAACAATATTTAATTTTTTCATATGAAAAGTTCACATGAACTTAAGTAGATGATCATACATATTATTGATACCATAACTACTTTTTTGCCACCTCACAGTTCATTGTTCTTTCTCTTTATTAGACAAAATTGATGTTTCATTCCACCATCACTAGATAATGAAAGTAATTATTTGTCTTCCTTTAGCTTTTACACTGAAGCATGAATTGCAGTACAATGCAGAAGATAAGATTTATTATGCAGTAATATCCCTCACTTATACCAAAGAAGCATTACTAAAGCTAATATTTGAGCAATAATAAGCAGGAATATTTATTATGCATTATATGTCATCAAATGTCAAATCTTCAGACAAAAGCTGTCAAGAGTTTCATTAAAATCATTTCCACTAACCAGACAAACCCTGAGTTAAAACATCTTTCCAAACATCTTAATTTTGTGATGAACACTAGAGGCTTTTACAGCTTTTCCTTGCCATTCTCATTTGAGGTCATTATTCAATGCAATCATATCACAGCAGCAATTTAATTTACTTCACTTTCCAGGTGATCTCACTGTTCAAACTGAAAATAAAATTTGCATTTAAGGTACAGTATGAAAAGAGAACACATACTTTGACAGCTGCCACTTTCCGGATAAAATGGTAAAGTTACAGGTTTGCTTTTAATTTTATTCCAGAGAGCTAAAAAATACCTGATAACTTTAACTTTTTTTAGAGTAAGGGATACTTTATGTGTTTGCTATGTTTCCTTAGGTGCAAAGACTTTCCCAGTATAAACTACTTAATCATTTAGAGATAAAATAGCCTACACTACTCTGATGCCAAAAGACGTGAGGTCTCCAATAGAAGTATAATTGATATCAGATAGTTGTCCTGAACGGTCAGAACTGAAAGTAGTTGAATGTTCCTTGAGAGATGCCTGGAGATGAGTTGCCTCTTCAGCTTGTAACTAGAAGCGCCTGGAATCTCAGGGCAATAGAATAACTACAAGGCAGTGGTCACCAATGAAAATTTTGAAAGAACAAAACGGGATATCAGGTTTCATCAGTCCCTGTAGTACCCAATTGCTCTAATTTTTAAGATCCTCTAGATTTTTTTTTTTTTATCCCCCTTTAACATTTTCCATGGCTGCAAAATTTTCTGACATTATTAAGTTCCTCTGGCAAGTCAGTAGGACAGAAGAAATTTAAAAGTCACAGGCTAATTCAAAAAAGTACATGGTTAAAATTGCTTTCCTGTCATTTGCACGTGTTTAGATATGGTGCTTAAATTTTCAGCAATCCCTGACCCTTAAGGCTGAAAATCAATGGAAGATCTCCACCTTAAATTTTCACGGCCACAGGATGACAAATATAAATGAAATACTGACACTGAGTGCTTGCACAAACTTTCACTATTGTGCTGGTGGTAAAGATGCCTGGCTACTGTTACTGTTAGCCAGTATTATTTGCACACTCTTCAAGAGCCCCCAGCAATGGAATCTTGTCACAAATTAATGGGTCTCTACTGCTAAATCTCTACTGCTAACTGGAAACGTCTATGTAAAAATGAATTTAAAGATGTTCATTTTTCAAGCAACATGAATCCTCTGACAGAATTTTATTACAGTAGCAATGTTATGTATCCCCTCCACTGCCCATGTGAAGAGAATGTGGTTTACAAAGCTACTGCAATAAACATTAGTTGATTAGCTACATCCAACATTGTCTTTTCGTTTTCAAGGTAAACATAAAAAACGTAATTTACAAAATGGCTGACAGCAGCCTGGTTAGTGGAAGGTGTTCCTGCCCATGGCAGGGGAGTTGAAATTAAATGACCTTTAAGGTGCCTTCCAACCCAAAAAGTTACCATCAGAGAGCAACAAATTTTTGTCACAGCCAAGTCTTCTGAAGATAAAGATGGTGCACTTCACCTTAGAGACAGAATTCCATAGTGACAAATCCAGAACATTTTTTAATGGCCAGACTGTTCCAGACTTACTTATCAAATCTCAAGAGCAGTGAAAGGGATTGTGGACAGTGATCTCACTCTCATCAAACGAATACTTTCAAGGTCTGTAAACAGAACCTGATTGTAGGACAAATATCTACAGTTCAAAGCATGATTTTCTCCATTAAAATCATAAAAAGCTCTAAGGTTGTTGGTATAGTTCTTATACACCACCTCTGATATTTCTCAGCAGTGAAAGACACTGACAACTCCCACTGATGGCCTCAGGATTTTCTTCGTAGTAGTAAACAGGAACACCTGCACCTGGTCCTTCTATTAGTGGCTATTTGTATGCATCCCAAACCCTTTAAAATCTGCTTTCCAGGAACATTTAAACACTTCAGAAAGAGAAAGGAGACCAAATCTATACTCTGAAAAGATGAAGTAATAGAATCTTTTTTTTTAATTCAGTACACACATTATCTTCTTTGTTTGTAAACAAAACTAATTTTAACCTGGCAAAGCTTTCTGTAAAGAACTACAAGTCTTCTTCACGTTACCACCAAGGGTGCTGAACCTACTGTAAAAAGAAAAAAAATTGCATTCAACAAATTATGTTACATCAAAAAGCAGTTTTGTTTTCATGCAAAAAGGTTCTTCTAATTTTGAACAAGCCCCCTGGGAGCTTTGTATAATGTGTTAACGTCAAGCTGAAACAATGTCAAGTAAGGTACATAAAATACAATACTAAAAGGGAGAGGGAAGTAAGTGTTGGGGAAGGTATTCACAAGGGTTAACATTTGCCCCTGTAGACTAATTCCTCAACGGCTCTCTAGTCAGTAAAGAGATAAAGGCTTTGCCACAGAGAGATTCAGAACAGAAGATTCATTTAGGTCCCCGGAATCTCTCTGGCAGACTCTCTCTTCTGTTAACTTCAAGAGCAGCCTGCAAAGCTTAGCCTCAAAAAGATCACTCTTGCCCTTGTGAATACTCTCCAGTATTTGCCTTCCATCAGTGGATGAAACTCAGTAGTGAGATGTACCATTGAGTATACCTTATTTAACTCTGAACACTGTATTGCACAGGCTGAATTTTACCCAGCTGGAGCTTTGAACTCCTGCTAGAATCACTGAAACAGTATTCACAGCTAGGATGACTACAGGATTTAGTCTTTTCCACTGCCCCATTAAAATGCTCTGTTTGAAGGCCACCTGCACGCTGCCATAAAAAGGACTGCTGAACCCCAGCACTCTCAGAACCCAAATTGCGCAGTCCCAGTGGCACAGCTCCTTCTCTGCTCTGACTGCTCTTTGTATCACTGGAGCAGCAGCAGGAGCTGGGTTTTCACCACCAAACTAAACATGAAGAATAAAAATCCTCAGCTTTTGCGACCTGCTGTGAACAATTTTTAGGATTATTAAGTAGCAACAAGAAAGGAAAACGGCCTTTTCATCTCACAGAATAAAGTTGGATTTTGTGACAAGAACACAAGGAAGAAAGCCGTATCACTGACAGAACTATTATCAGGGCCATTTCCTAACTTCTCCAGTGCTCGATCATACTTTATCAGATTATTGTGCTTCCCTCCCCAAAAAATTTCCATGATATCTTCAAATTCTATCAAAATAAAACTTCTATGATTGTATAAAACAAAAGAACAATTACAATTCTTTGAAAGTTTTGGTGGGACTTTCCACATTTATCCCTCTGCCAAAATTTTTCTTCACAGCCATCCTTTTACAAATGTTGAACACAGAAAAAGATTCCCTGCAAGTTGACTTCAGCAAAGTCGTGACAAAGTGAATCACAAACAGTGCAAGTCCTGCATTTAACACCAGTCAAGTTATAACCAGAGCCAGACACTGCAAGCTCCAGGTAGAGCTCACTTCCAAAGTTTGCCATAAAGCATGGCTAGACAAACCAGTGTAAGTCTGAAAATACAGCACTTTACACAATCTTCTAACAACTCCCAAGCCCTACAAAGTCTGGTTAACTTAAAGTTTCCTATACAACCATGTCAAACATGACTTAACAAAATAAACTCGCATAGGTCAAATCAACTTGCAAATATCTGCTATTACATTTTAGAACTGGAATCAAGTCTCTTTACCAAACAGAGAAGCCACATTAAGAGTTAGGAAACCATATTGTGACAAAAGTGTCATGAACAGAGTACTAAAAAGATCAGTTATTTTTCCAAATGAACAAATCCTTAGCATGTTACATAAGCAGACTTGCAATGCAGTATGTCAAATACTTTATGCTGTGTTATGAGCTAAGTAACAGCATTAAGAAATGTTAGCCAGCAATTGAAATCATTTTCAAACAACCCTCAATTATATAAACATCAAAACATCTTATATTCAAAATGCATTTAACCAAGATGACCTTTCAAAAACTATACTGCACCTTCAGACAGGGAAAAAAAAAAAAAAAGATTGCTGTTTGTTACATTCCAGTATCAGGTGTTTTTCAGGCATTCAGTTGAGATATTTGCAGCCAAAAATTACAAGTAATTAATTTGGCTCATCCTAATTATATTGTGGAGTTAGATTAGCATAAACTATGCATTCTGCCCCTCAGGGGTAGCATTCTGTAGAAATCTGCATAATAGTCTTTTGGCTTGGAATGAATCTCGCAGCATGTTGATCAGAAGGTTAAAGGGAAGAGTTTTTAATTACTGTCAAAATCTAATTAAGAATAAGAGAGAAGCAATGTTTGCACTTGTTTCATATAATTGTTTATTAAAATAAAAATACAGAATTTTACAATTTATCTTGATTTGGAATATGTTTATAGTCAAATATTGATTTCTGATGAGTTTTTCTCTATATACTCAGAAGGGCATTTTGTACTTTGTTTTTTTTGACACATTGCCTGAACATCTTTCTAGAGCACAACTATTGCACAAGACAGTTGTATTTGTGACAGTTCTCATTTAACCAAGCACTACATTGCCCATTGCAATTTCTGTTCCACTCAGTAGGAGAGAGAAAAATGCAATATGGTAAGATTTTGCCAAATACATTAAAACACAGGGTAGATAACCAGTTCAAGAAAAGCAGCAATTGCTCAAAATACATGACTGATAGTTTACACCTGACAATTTATAACCTGAACACAAACATTTCAGTAAATTCTATGCTGTTTCCCATGTAACAGGCAGTGACAAAACAAGACTTCTGGAAAGAATCAGTATTAGTTTACTGAAAAAGGAATGTGATGACATATTTGACCAGTACCTACAAATTCCCAAATTACATTGCAATCCTTTTCAGCTGATGGCACTTCATGTGAGAAGAGTAGGTCTCAAATTCTTTGAAACTGTGTTTCATTTTACTTCACAGTACATCAAATGACATAAAATATTTTAAGACACAGAAACCTCTGTTTTCTCCTTTATCTAATGTACTTTCAGTAATTAAATCTTGAAATTACTTTGGAACATTTGGCAGCTATATGAGTGATAAACTCCTGAAATTTCCCTTCTACTTGAGCTTAATACTTGAACCAGGTGAAAGCTGTTCCTCTAAACATGGAAGTAAATTCAGAAAAAAAGTACAGGGAAAAAAAAAAACTTTTAGCACTCAGTAGGAATAATTTCTTTGTAGCAAAATCGTAACACCATTTCCCCTTTCACAGAGTAGGCTCAACAATACCCAGTATTTTAAATATCAATTGATGGTGGCTGTGTGTTTACCCTCGTGGTGTCAGTAACACCTACAGAGAAGTCCATCTTTCTTACAGCAACAAAACATGAAATCAGCCCATTCTTTTACTAGTCAGGGAAGAATCAGCACATAAGTTAATGTATTTTGACAAGAAAATAAAACTTTATCTCTGTTTCAAAAAAAACCCCAAACCAAAACCAAATCAAATCCTGGGAAGTCATTTTTGCTAGCTTTAAAAAAATCCAATTCATTAGATGCATTTTGGAGTTTCAAAATAAATCGACCTCTACTGCAAGGAAATGTCACTTATTCCACAGCTTTCAGGAGATGTTATGAACTCCCAACTCGATCCCTGGGAATAAGCCGGAGATCTGACCCATGCTTTAGAAATACGTTTCCTAAACAAACACAGAAAACAGAATGTGTTACTAACCTAGAAAATAAGTTACCTCAAAAAACATACACATTTAAAGGATAACAATAGTAGGTCAGTGTTTAACATCTTTGTAGTAATTCCTCTAACATAGCAGACATAAATTTCTCATATTTCCATAGAATTTTGTCTTGTCCTTCTTACTCCAAAGGACTTTCTACTTTTAAATAAACATGCCAGACCTTGCAAGGTGCAGCCATTGAAACTTTGCACATCCACACCTGAATGTCTGATTTCACCTATATGCCATAATAATTTCAAGACCAGAAAATGAAGTTGTACTTCTCCATGATTACTTTTTTATCTCGAAGTCAGTCATACATTCATTCATTTTTAATTCTTTCCTTGGTTCAGTACTTAATGGCTTCTAACTTCAGAACTTCAATTGTACTTTGCTTTTAGGAAGGCTCTCCAAATATCCAAGCATAAGTCAGTCTCATTTTAGCGCTAAAACTCCTTGAACTTCATATTCATTATGGCACTTTCTTAATCATGTTAGTCTTATCAAGAAGACATAATATGAAAATTAGAAGTGCTTAGTACTTAGTTGCCTAGAATATTTTCTGCGTGTATTCAGGACTCTCATTCAGGTTGCTGTTTTCTTCTATTAAATGTAACACTTGAAAATTAAATCACATTGCTAAAAGTGATGCATTATTTAGTTACTATATGGGACATTTATTTTTTTTTTATTTCATACTGCTACTGCAAAAAAATAGAGTATATGTGATTCTACAATATCAGATTTTAACAATATCTACCTTTTCTTATTCAACTTTGCATTAACTTGTAAAAACAGAATAATTGTATTTCTCTCCCAAGCACCCCACTCGAGGGATGTAGAGTGCTCTTGTAAAAAAGACCAAGATATTTGACATCTGTTGAAGTTGTTTGTATATTACAACAAAGCTACCCTTTTTCAACCTCAGGACCATAACCATTCTTATATTCAACATAACGAGTATTTGAAAATCATTTCAAAAAAATGTGTTATGAGAAAACATTCTGTTTTTAGAGATCTGCCAAGACCATTTCTATAAATGCCAAGACCAAGATTATAAAACCCATAGAACACAAACCTGTCACACCAGCAAACCAGAGAACTGCTTACTAATCTTAATATTGTAGATGAAAAGCATCTGTATTACAACAGCCATCCTAAAGCTCTCAGCGCTTTACAACAGGCCACAGCTGCATCTCCTGAAGACAGTTCACCCCACCTCTCAGTCTGTTTTCATCATTAATATCACGGCGGTTTTATTAAAGTTATGGCACACTATTCCCTAAACTATCAAGGATTTAAAATTGAAATCAATACAGGAATTAAGTGCTAAGCCCAGCCTTTTCAGCTTTCATTTCCTCTGCTCCATGAAATCACGTAGGGAGAATGAAGGTCATACTTGAGCATATGGGGAAGATGGGGAGATAGTGGAACAGTACAAAGCTTCCAAAATACCCAAGGATTAATATGATTTTATTCCTGCATATCTTATTTTGGGAAGTTTTTGAAGACGAAAATAACTCTTTAATCTACAGGAACTTTAAAGTATGAAAAAAGTAAGAGAAAAGAAAAAAAGTATATATATTTTATTTATAAATATATTTTATTCTGAGATACCAATTAATAAGGTTGAACACAAGATTATATCTAAATGATACATGTTTACTTGTAAACTGAGTAGGAATTGGGTCTTGGATTTAGTGTAGGTTGTTTTCTGGTTGGTTTGTTTGGGGGTTTATCTTGCCTTGATTTTGTTAGGTTTTTTTCCAGTTAAAGGCAACATCACACAGCATTGACAGGGCAATGGCACTGTCTATGTTAAAAAAAATAATCCATGTGCCTAATTTTAGATTTGCAAATTAAGACTGTGATGACAACATTTTGCTTCTAGATGTTTTAGATTTATCTGCTCCTTGGGTATGAGATGCTGTCTTATACTACTACTGAATAATTCCTCAGCAGTTTTAGATATTAGAAGAGGTAGAACAAATAAACTGGAGATGTGAATTAAATATGTACAGCTGTAAGCACGATGAACTAATGTACAGATGCTTTCATTCAGGAGTCCAGTAGTCCTAAACACATTTACTTTGCAGGACTAAGCTACAACTAATTTGAACTACATAATACTGGGATTCATATACAGTAAATTACCTGCTGTCTGTGCAGGGTTTATTCCTATACCATCTGGAAAAAAAGAATAAAAGAGGAAAAGATGAAACAGAAATACATATTACAATTCAAAACATTAAACTTGTAGCTCAAAAAAACATACCAACAAGATATAAGTATTACATTAGGCCTTCATGCAGCTATTTCCTACAATCAAGAATAGTCTTTTCACAGGAGGTAACAAAAAATCTTCAGTACAGAAAAGTCTAAGCTATATATTTGTACAAAACTGAATTAGTGGTTTAGTATCTTCATCTCATGCATAAGAAATTTAAATAATCCTACAATATTATTAAATTCAATTTGCAGTCTGTAGAGGTTGTGAAATATGAGACACTATTGCTTTTATCAATACCTCTTCACTGAAATTTCAATACAAATACTATTAAAAAAATATATGAACCATATTCTTACCATTTGTTATAATGGCACTTGTTGCTGCAGGAACTTTGAACTAAAGAAGATAAGAGTAGGACAAAACAGCATAAGAGACATAGCTAAGGCAGAAAATATATAGGGAATATTAAATTATAATTTTAGTTGGTTCACGTACAACAAAAATGAGAAAAGAGTTACTTAAGATTTAGAGCTGAATTCATTTAATGGAAGTGGATGACTATTTTAGTAATAATTTCACAAATGTAATGGAGTTTTTTTTTAGTAAGTATTGTGCAAATGTACGCCTGAGACATGTACCAAGTAGCTTTAACAAATGAAGGAAAAAAACCCCAATAGAGACCACACATCATAAAGGAGAACACTTGTCCCAATAAACTGTGATAATTCTGTAAAGAACTATAGATAAATGAAGACTTAAGATAACATAACAATGAAAGTAATTCAGAAATTTTTACTTGGAAAAACTAACCTTTGACCAAGCACCGTGACTGACACTTGATATGTAAGATGATCCTTCTACATCACAGCTACAGTTCTACTGTTCCAGGGATATTCTCTTTTTGATTTGGCCAAACTTCAAGACTCTGAAAGATTTCTCAGTTGAAACTTGTAAGGCTAAATAGCCAGAATGTAAATCCTTCTCTGCCCCAGGAGCTTTAGTCACTAAGAGGATAATGCACTTTGCCTGGAGATCAACAATTTTGCCCACATTTTGATCTTTTCCATATATGTCTCATATATGGTACTGTGAAACTGGTACCTGAGTCACAACAAACTGCTAAGATAATGTTAAACTACACAATTCAAGGAACAAAAAACCCCCATTCATATAACACAAAAATGATCTAATTTTTTACAATGCCAATTCACAAAGGAACTTCATTCCTGGGGCAGAGTCTAGACAATCTTTTTTATTCTCTGTTTAAAAAGCACTCTGTTCTGCCTGCCTGGCCTCACAGATATGCAAAAAGCTTCAGTGCCGATCCAGAGTGGCCTGAGGTCAAACAGTGAAATTCCCACAGATACTCAAAATACATCAATTAAATAACGGTTTGCTAAATGTGAATATTTAAGTAAATAATTCTTCTCTAAACCCAGTTCTCAGATGATCCTATGACCATCTAATGTGGTTCCACAAGTAAGCAATGCTAACGGGTTCCATGACATCTTTCCCACCAAAAGAGGACCCTCCCTCTCAGTATGTCTGACTACTCAGTCCCACTTCCAATTGTTCGAGGTCTCTCATACTCATTTATTAGACTTTTCAGTCTAGGTCTCTGTGTATGGGTTGTGAGGTCACAGTTGTATTAGTTCAGAATAAAAATAACTGGGGGGAAGAAAGCATAGTAAAAACCAAATTAAATGATCAAATATCTCTAATAGCATGTAATATTCTGTATAATGTTCTCTTCAAGTAAATTCACAACAAAAACAATCCACAAGCTCCCCCCACAAGCTGTCACATAGCGGTGTAACAGTAATGTAATGGCCAGTCTTTGCGAACGAAGAACCGGGGAAGGTCTTTACACCTTCCAGCCTGAGCATTGCATTTTTTAGGTGAGACACACTGTGTGCGGAACTGAGCCCACCCTTTAATCCTGAGGTTCATCTGCCGGGGCCAAGCGAGCTTGGACGGTGGCAGCGAGGTCCTCAGGACGTAGATGGATTGCCTTACAGGGCTAACGAGCTCCATCTGCCCGGGGAGTGGCCCCGACCGGGAATCGAACCCGGGTCTCTGCAGTGACAGTGCAGCGCCTTTACCCACTAGACCACAGCATAAGGAGACTCATGACATGGAGTCCATTATCCCTCCTAACTATTTTATTACAATTCCAGTGCCTGAAGAGATAAGTTTTCAATAAACCAAGATTTCCCAGGTTTTCTTAAAAAGACGGGGGGGGGGGGGGGGGAAATTCCAAGAACAGACTCTCAACTGAATCTTTTGCTGATTAGATGAAGAGAACCCATCATGCTTTTGAGCACTCGATTTTACTATTTACACCCAGTGAATGTCTCTTAATCTTCCAATGCTGAATCTGAAACAACATCATCATATGTCTCTTCAAATGTTACATGGGCAATTTAGGCACCTAACGGTATAGGATTCCATGTGAAAGATCTAACATCCAGAAGCCAAAGAACATGTTATACACATCTTATTCCTTTAAGTCAGTGTTTTGAATCTAGCCCATATGTAATCTCAGTATTTTCTATAATCAAGCACTGTATGTCATCCAAAGTCAGAGGTTACCGGAACTGAATGTGAAAAGAGTATAAGAATTTCCTAATTCTAAAGAATTTCCTGGATATTCTACATAAGCAGTTTTTAGTACTAAGTACTCAATTGCAATATCTTCTAGTTCTCTTCACTGTCATGAATTTTTACATCACTGATAGAAAACGTTTCAATTTAATAGCAAAGAACAGGAAGTGTGTCAATGCCTGCTGTTGATGTGTAAACTGTGCAAAAACCACTAAGTTTAGGATTCTGAAAGTTTTGGCAGGCCCCCAAGAGGCCAGTAAAGCTTGTGTCCATCCACAACCAACTGCAGTGGTTTTTTGTGCTGAATTAACCATTGTTTTTTACTGTTAAAAAGGCTTGCTTCAAGACTGTTCAAAATGTTAAAAAACAAAAAAAAAAAAAAAAACCATCGCTCTCTACTTACTTCTTCTGCAGCGAACTTCAGGACAGCTGTGAAAGGTGTGCTTTCAGGCACACTTAACCTGGAATTGCAATGCAAGTAAATACATGACTGCCAAGACAAACGGAAAGGCAACTTTATCTGCTATTAAACTGCTAATTGCAAACTTCACTTTTACCAGTGGCAGCACTCTTGCCAAAGCTGTGCAAGCGCTACTTAAGTGGAGAAGAGGGCCATGGTGGGTGTGAAATGCTTCAAGAGAAGCATTTTTAGCAGAAAGTGGGGAAATGTCTGACTTTCAGCAGCTGTGGGAGCTCTCAGGAAGTGCAGGATTACGCTTCGTAGCAAAGTCTTCTCCAGGACGAGAAGACATGGCCTCAAGCTCTGCCAGGGGAGGTTCAGGTTGGACATCGAGAAGAATTTCTTCGGGGAAAGTGCTATCAGGCACTGGAAGTGGCTGCCCAGGGAGGCGGTAGAGTCACCGTCCCTGGAGGTGTTTAAGGAAACTTTGGACATCTTAGTGCCATGGCCTAGTTGACATGGTGGTGACCGATCATAGGTTGGACACCGATGATCTCAGAGGTCTTTTCCAACCTCTGTGATTCTGTGACTCTGCGAAAGACGCGCAGGGCACCGGGGCAAAGCGGGACAGCCCAGAGAGGCGAGTTAACCACGGACAGCGCCCATCGTTCCGTACAGAGGAACACAAAGCCGTTCCCGCCGGCGGAATGCCCTGCCAGGATGGCCATTGGAAGCCGCTCCCCGTTTTCACCTCCCCCTCACCCGCAGAGGCACCGGCCCGGCCCAGCACTCACACTTTGTAGGGCAGCCGGGGGTCCGAGGTGAGCGTCACTTTGAAGGTGACCTTCGACCTGTGGAGACAGTAGACTGTTTAGGGGTGTGTGAGGAGCGCGGGCCCCCCGCAGGCTCCCCCCGTCCCTCCCTCACTCACATGGCGCTCCGGGCACCGCCGCCGCTCCGCCGACACGTCAGCGCCGCGCCGGGGCCTGCGCTCAGCCTGGGCCGCCCGCAGCGCGCCTGGCTACAAAAGGGAGGCAAATATGCCCCGCCGACCCGGCTACGGCGCAGGGAGAGGAGGCGTTCCGCCTCGGCATCTCGCTGGAACCGGGAGAGGAAGAGGCTGAGGGGTGCGCGAGGAGCGCCGGTGAGCGGCGGGGAGGATTTCTAATGAGGCATTGACCTGGCCTGCTCTGCGGCCGAGGTAGGACCCAGGCGCCGGTTCCTGGGCGTTTCGGTGGGAGTGTGCCGGGACCGCCCGGGGCTGAGGGGCGGGGAGAGGAGGGAACGGGGCGGGGCGGGAGGGAGGAGGGGGGATTGCTGGCTTGGAGTCGGTGGTCCCACGAGTCTGTGTGTAATGAGGGTGGGGGGGGGTGTGGTTCCCCGTCGGGTTTGGTTACCGGAGGGCATATTTGGGGTGTTATGTCCATATCTGGGCTCCTCAGTACACGGGAGACAGGGAGCTTTTGGAGGGGGTCCCGCGGAGAACAACAGAAATAATGAGACGTCTGGAACACCTGGATGTGTTCCTGTGTCACCTGCTCTAGGTGACCCTGCCTTGGGAGGGAGGTTGGACTGGATGATCTCCAGGGACGCCTTCCAACCTTGATGATTCTGTGTCGCTTTCACACCAAAATGTTCTGCGGGTGCTTGTTGAAGTTATGGAAGGGAAGATAGACGCAAACACCGGTTCTCACCCCCTTAATGTTAAACACCGTTCACATCTTGCTTGCAACAGGGAGCTAGAACTGGAGTGATGGATACTCTTACGGCAAAAAAACAGCCCCTTCCAGTTTTGTCTGTCCCTGACTTTTGACAAACCAGTTTCTCTTAAACTCTAATAAGGTGTCATGGAACTGCAAACTGCTTTTTGTCTTTAAAGCTTGTTCATCCCTTAATACAGATGATGACCGGGTTTCTAGCTATGGGTATGTCAGTATTACCACTGTGGAAAGTACTTTGCCAGACTGCTTTCATATCTTCTACAGTCTCTTCTGTCTGCAGGAAGGACAGCTTTCACTGCAGACTGTGGTGCTTATTATCACATACTGCTTGCCAGACTTGTCACGGCAAAGCATTTTGAGTGTTTGTGTTGTAATTTTTTACCTGAGGACTGCTTTGGTGCCCAGGCATGAAATCCAGCTTTTCACCCTTGTGCTGTTCTTATCTGAACATAGGCAAAACTGAAAAAATATCAAAAAAGAGCAAGGAGAAGAAATTCGCTGGCAGCTTGTACAATGGCATTAATATTTTCCTGTATCTCCTGCATTTATGTTACTGTGTCTGCCTTTCATAATTATAGCAAATTGGTGGCTCGTGCGCATTTTGTAATCCATTAGTGATCTCACAGCTTTTTCGTCCCCCAGCTTCTAAGAGATCACACCTGTAACTAGGTTTAATTAATAGGTGTCTCTTAGCATTTAACCTTGCATTTTGTGTAGCTAAGTGCCATCCCATACCTGTTCTCCCCCTTTTCAAAATCAGTTGGTTTTGTATGTAGGTACAATGTTTATGTCTTTGATTTATATAGCTCTGTCATCTTCAACTTTCATTAATGCATTGCTGTGTGTTCTAAGGTCGTGAATGCAGATGTGAAATAAAACACTAATCCTTTTAGAGCTTAATTTCTTGCTTCTCACTCTTAAGTGCTTCCCCTCTGAGGAAATAAGCAGACACAAATCCTTATGTTGTTGAAGCTGTATTTAGTACCCATATTTATGAAGTTGTATGTACCCATATTATGAAGTTGTATTTAGTACCCATATTTACTTTGTTATATGGGTATTATAGTACCCATATTTACTTTGTTAAATCTATATTAAACATATGTGTACTATAATGGTGAGAATAGTCTAAATCCAGGCCTGGGTAGTCTTGCTTTCTGGCCACATGGTCTTGTCCTCTGTCAAGCAGAGGAACCAACACTTGTGACCTGGTAATGAATGAGTTCAGAGATTGATTTGGCAAAAAAAACCCCAAATTTTCTTTTTAAATGGTTTTAATCTGGTTATCTTCTGAAACCAGCAACAAAAAAGGATGTGAGGGAGAACATCTGGTTGTCGGTGAAACTGCACTTCATCTTAGGTCAGCTTAAGGTGCTGTGGAGCTGTGTCCTAAGCAGGCATCAAGTATTTGATGGTACTGTCAGGGACTGGTGGGCTGACCCTGGCTGGGCAACAGATGCCCACCAAAGCTGCACTGTCAGTCTCCCTCTCAGCTGAGCAGGGGAGAGAAAACAAGGAAAGGCTTGTGGGTGGAGATAAGGACAGGAAGAGATCACTCACCAATTACCATCACAGGCAAGACAGACTTGGCGTAGGGAAATTAGTTTATTATCAAATCAGAGTAAGGTAATGAGAAATAAACCCGAATCTTAAAAATACACCCCCCTGCCCTCTGTCCTTTTCCCTTTGGGACTGAATCTCGCTACCTTGTCCTTACACAAGGAGAGGACTCCTTACACTCTTCCCCTGCTCCAACATGGGTCCCTCCCACACGGCCACAAGTCCTGCCAACAAACCTGCTTTGATGCCCGGATCACCTCCTCTCCCTCCTTCTCCACTGACCTTGGTGTCTGCAGAGAGATTTCTCTCATATATACTCTGTTGTTCTCTCTGTTGAACTCTCTGCTGTTCTTCTGTAGGTTTGGGGTTTTTTTATACCCCTTCTTACATCTGTTACCCTAGAGGTGCTACTATGGTGCTGTCGCTGCTGGGCTCAGCCTTGGCCAGCAGCAGGTTCATCTTGAAGATGGCTGGCATTGGCTCTGTCGGATGTGGGGGAAGCTTCTGGCAGCTTCTCACAGAAGCCACCCCTCTACTCCCCTCCCACCACTACCAAAACCTTGCCACGCAAACCCACTATACAGGGGTCAGAATCTTCTGATGTAGATTCAGGAATCCAAGTGATTTCATGCCTCTCCAGTGCTGCAAATTTAGGATTTTACTGTGCTGTCTAAACCTGTTTAGAAGGCTAGGGTTGATTTTTTTTCACTGAGAATTTACAGTGAATAAAGGAACAAGAATGTACATGATTTTTCTTTCAGTTGGGGTAGTTAATGGGACTAGGCACCCTGTCTGCAAACAAGCCAGGGATGGTATAGAGGACTGTATTTCACTGATGGGTTTATACACTACAACATTCTCCTCAACTCCAGAGAAACTCGTTCATTTCCAAAAAAAGTCTGCCCTCCTTTCCCTGTGATTGAAACCAGAGAAAAAACCAGAATTCTTTATGCAGTTTGTTTTCCCTACAGCTCCTAATTACCCAGATTAAATATGTTGTGTGATAGCAATGAGACCTAAGTTTGACTTTTCTAGCTGTGTAGATAATAGAAGGAATGACAATTTCAACAACTGAGATCTCTGGCAATGTGTGAATGCATTTGTACAACATAAAGCTTTTAAGGAAAATGTAAAAAAAAATCCAAACCAGAAAATAACAAAAAAAATATCCTCCTGGATGCTGTGGATGTGACTGAGGGGAACTAAAATATCTCTGACAACTCTTTGGGGAAGTCCTTCTGGTTGTTAATATCATAGCAAGAGAGAAAAGAACTGCAGTACATCGCAGCTATGCATCTCACATATTTGTATTCCACCTGACTAGACCTAGTTTAATTGAATTGAGAGGGAAAATAAACAAAACAAATAAACAAAAAGTGAAATTTGAAAAGTACAAAAAAAAAAAAAAAAACCCAAGATCTAATGATTGGTATTTAGCTGCCTGAGCAAGATAGTCACCTTCCAAAGAGTAAAATTGTTCTAGAAGGTGCATCTGTTTCTTGAAATAACATGGAATGTGTAAAATTATGTTGGGGGGTAGAGGGAGCTGTTTGTTTCTTGAGTAGTTACATTGTAGATGGAGGCATATTCTTACTAGACACCTTAGCCTGAATACAATTTCCCAACATTGCCATGATCATTTACCAAGATTATTTTGCTTATATACATCATGGGGAAAAAAAGTTTCTTGATGGCATTTTCAAACCACAACATGGAGCACAAAGTGCTGGAGAGCTGTGTTTAAAGGAATGTTATTTAGCCTGCTTTAATTCCTCCTGCTCTGTTTCCTATTCTCCCCTACTGTAGTCCCTGTTAGATACAATATATTGCTGAGCATTCAATTAGAGCTGCCCTGTGATACAAAATAGGGACTTAAAATTTTCCACTTATCCAACAACAGGTAAACATGATCACCGTTTGGAGTCTAGCCATAAAAGTAAACTTAAGTGTTTGCATTTTTGGAAGATTTTTCCTCTACTTCTGAAGCACACGGTGTCACTTAAAGTCTTTTAACCTTCGTTGCACTTCTACATTCATAAGTACATGTGCCGTTTGAAAAACACCAATTTTTGTGCTCCCAAACAAGTGCCCATGTGGGTGAAGAGCTTGTAACACAAGCATCTATGTTAAGAACTCTATGGAAGTATCAAATCTGAAATCTTAAGAAAGGCAGTAAAATGTCTCCCACCTGCAAAACATGCCTTTAGCCTTGTCAGTTTTGGACTGAATGAGGAATGTCTGACTTCCAGGAATTTTTGCTGAAAAAACACTGAATTAAACCTTTTAGGAACTACCCAGAAAATTTAATCTTGGCACCAGCATGCTTTTCTTCTATGCTCACAAACAATGAATTCAACAAATGAGCATTGCCAAGTGATGCATTACAGGAGGGAGAGGGAGGCAGAAAGCTCAGTGTTTCTCCATCCAACCACTTCCGTATCAAGCACACAGATAATAGTCTGATCCCTTCTGCTCTTAGTGAGGCTGTGATTTTGCCAGGTGTATCTAGCAGTGCTTACTCCCATGAAGAAGGAGAAGTCCCGTTTCTTAGCCCCATTTCTATCTGTTCCTGGCCTTCTGCCTGCTGGCTGCTCCTTGCCCCTGTATCTGTACAGCCTAGTGAACCTACAGTGAGTCAAATCAGCAGAAGGCAGAGAAGTTTCTCAGCTAATTCAGAGCATTGAGTCAGGGAAGGGTCTGAGTGGACACAGCAGA